TCGACCTACCTAGGATGTGAATGAAGCCTAAAACAAGTGGTAAGTATCGCTGCTGTTATTTACTCTTTGGTTACCTCTGCAAGCTAGCCAAAACCGACCGCCTGACACAGATCTCATTGAGGAAGGCGAATCCTGCCATGAGCACATGTTGATACACCAGACTGGATGCTGGATGGGCAGCATGAATACTCAATTTGGGGAAATCGGACACCTACACATTGGTTTTGCATCTCCAACATATCAACACAATTCACTCTCAGTAGCATTTACTTCACTCCCCAGTCATTTTGTGGATAGTCTGTCAAGGCAGTCAAAGATTACGCAACTGCTGACTACGCAGTTTTGACTATATCCGTGCAGACTGGCCGAGCAACAGCTCCAACAACTGCCGACAACTAGTGATCCTGTGTTGCAGAAACTTGTTGAGTAGAACCGAAAAGGCTTACACTAGTCGAATTAAAGGGTGGATAGTAATAGTTATTTCCCTGTGGGAAGGATTTGCCACTATCTGATCTTGGGGGACTACATCGTTTTAACACGAGCCTATAGCATCAAGCACTGAGACAATTTTAGGAAATACACCCAGGAGTCGCCAGAATGGAAACGATTGCTATCGCCTGATGGGAATAATAAAGAAGTTGTATGTGGCGGCGGTCAACGTGTGGGGTAGTTGAAAGCACCATTTCAGTCAAATGAACATCCGATACAAGGATTCACATTACCGTACGACACCTTGCACTATCATGTCCTCATTTATCTTAACGGAAGGAGCAATCATTTCCTACCAACACTCCGAATGGGACATCATTCGCATTTGAGGCCATTTATCAAGAGATTTGCTGTCAAACCCAGTTTTGGAGTATGCAACATAAAACCGTGTATACAACTAGTACACAGAGGGGCTGAGTGTGGAGGTCGGATACGTGCTCAACAACATAACTGCGAAAATGTGTGATACAGCACGGCGATTAAGGAAACGGAATGCATGTATAGCACAATCGACCAGTAAAAAAAGTCGCACAACCGCATACAGCGAGCGATCTCACGAAGCCAACAGAACAGGTAGGTACTCGCATGCTCGACGTGAGATTGGCTAAACACATTGTATTCGAAGAAATGCTGCAGACATCGGCTACGTCTCTGATTCTTAAGGTAGGACAGATGGAACCGCAGCAGTGTGCACTCTGCTAGTGACGACCAAATTGATGTCACTTCGCCTTTACATAGCATAATTATAATAGCTACGTCTCGATTCTTAAGGTAGGACAGATGGAACCGCAGCAGTGTGCACTCTGCTAGTGACGACCAAATTGATGTCACTTCGCCTTTACATAGCATAATTATAATAAGTCGGGTGCTGGGCTTAAGGAGAGAGAGAAGGTCCCCACTTCAAAATTCGTCTGAAAGATTGACTAAGGGGAAAATCAAGCCGGTAGAGGCTTGGCATTGGGAATGCTCATATTCGGTCTATCGAAGTTGTCCGGTACAGCAACGCGTATTTCCCCCTAGCCATCAAGGACCGATACACTCTTGTTCGATACAAACAAACAAACAAACAAGCGCACACAACTGCACATACGCACGTCACAATCAGGTGGAAGTACGCAGTGATGACAACCGAAGTCGAGGCATGGTTAACCCGTGTTCGTCACCACTTGACATCCATGAAGACAACACTAACAGAAGCAGCAACAAAAACGGATACCCGCCGACCAAAAGCAAGGAGAATCGCATCCATGTACACGCGCACCTAAAAGCCAACACGCGGTGAAGTCAAAGATGCAAAGCGATAGCATCCAATGTGTGGATGTACGGCTGTGTGATGACAGCTTGGCACCAGTCTCGGTGACCTGCTAAGGCCGGCACGCGCACAAGCAAGTTTGAGGATGACAGGCACACGGTCACGAACACACAAATCACGGTTGTACGACAAACGTCGATGTGCTGTGGTGTTGGCGACAGGTTAGACACGGTGGAAAGAATGAAAACAGACACAAACACACCCCCAAAACAAGTGAGTGACAGTAAAAAACAGCCTTCAGCCTTGTTCGACAGCTACCAGGTGGCCCTTCAAAATCTTAAGACATCGGCGGCGCAAGGTGGGAGGTTCAGAATGCACTCCTGATGGAAACTGCTTGCTGGTGTAGGGGAGTTGTGGTCAGATCAATGCGACACGCAACAACTAGATGTGAGAACGCAGCACAGGTTTTGATGGTTTTGTGACTACCACGAGAATCTGTATTTGTTGCGAATGGAAACCCCGTCGGAGATGAACGTGTGGTTCATGGGTTTGCTCAGTCGATGAAAGCGTTGGAGTTAGGGCCATGCTAAAAGACTCCAAGCTAACTGTGTCCTTTTGATAAAATTATGTCCTACGTATCCACGCGCCGTTCACAATAACCATTCGATCCGAGTTCATGACGATGAATCGCGCACCCGTGAGTTTATATCCATTGTCGCCATATAAAGTGACAACAAACTCCCCTTTCAAAAAAGCATTCGCATTACAAAAGTGCCTTCGAGGTAGGCGCTTCCAAGAAAAGAACTGTCAACTCACTCAGGTTGGAACATAAACCGAATTTCGGCTTTTGGTTAAAGGGAAGCTGAACAACTACGCTATACATAGTAATGGACAATGGATACGAGCCAATGCCGCTGAGTCATTGTGTTAGTGTCGATGAGTTAGCTCTCAGTGATCCAATTCCCGGGTTGACTATCGATGCGCACCTAAATCCCTATAGTTCAAAGGTGCCGTTAACACGGATATTGAGGGCGCAAAGGATAGAGAAACAACTCAGAGTAAGTTACCCTCAAATCCCTTAGTAGCACGGCCGAGTGCACTCTTGCTGAGTTCGGTTTCAACCAAACAAGACAACTCAGCGGTTGAGGTGGTAGCTACTGACAGTCAATTTCGTGGTTCGATTTGTGTTTGTCGATTGCTCCTGTTCGGGGCGACCTGTCCTCGCGTTTCGTTCCGATTCTACTATCGGCCCAACCGAGCGGTTATTACGGCTAAAAGCACCCGCTATTTTCATGCTAAAACTGAGTAGTGATCGCTCCATGCTAAGACTATTGCTCGGGGCGCCAATGGCACATCTCGGATACCCCATATTAGCAGAAAAACAGGCACGTATGTTTTAGAAATGGAATTTCGAAGTCATCAGCAGGAACAAGAGCCCATACTGAAAAAGAGAGCATGGTGCTCCAAACAGGTCCATAGTCGTTGAGTTTTCTCNAAGAGCCCATCTGAAAAAGAGAGCATGGTGCTCCAAACAGGTCCATAGTCGTTGAGTTTTCTCAGCTACTTCGACAGTGAATTTGGGGTGAAGAGAACTGTCACCGAGATTAAAAGCAAAGGTTCTCATTACTGACCGAGAAACCCCAATTATGGTGCATAACATGCGAAATCCTGATGAAGCCAAATCCAGAAGGTACCGAGACTGATTCTGATATTTGCCCTCTACCACCGAAATGAAGTGTACGGGTATTCCTCTTACGAGACTACCAGTCGTACTGTTTTTGAGATTCTCTCACTATCTTAGCATGACTGTGTAGAAGTTTACCAGTATGGTGATACTTTGGTGGTACTTTAGTCAGAGATATGCAATACTTCCTCCCCATCGAAGAGAAATCTTGGTGGCACAAAATTCACTTCACTACGATTCAGTTAAAGAAGACACCCCATTCGAAACCTTCCGGTTTAGAAACGGCTGATTTGTTCAGCAAGAAGAAAAGCTACGATGGGTATTTCCCAGAGTTGCACGGCTTCACCATCGAACTATCATGGTACCCAGTTGATGTCGTACGCACTGCTGATGGACCATTCCACCACCTCAGTGGGCTCTTCTTAGCTAAACTTGGTTTGCACAGTAATTTACTTCGGGAGGCGAGCACACCACCAGATGTCGGAACGTGGTACAGTGGTGATAGACACTGGAAGTAATGGTCCTAAAGGGTGAGATGGATCGAGATACGACAACTCGTTGGAAAATAACAAGCCTGGGCGGTGAGTTTCGTGGTTTCTCTTCGGGCTTTTCAGGGTGATAAATGAGGTACTTGTTTGTAATGACGGCATTAAACAAGTTCACTAAGTTGCGCTAACAGGTATCGACCGATACAGAGGTGAACCTAAGAAATCCATATGTAACTCATGCAGATGTCATTGATATTCCGTTTAGCCCATGCGCGAGAAGCTTGAAAGTCATTCCTTTGATAAAGAAAAAAGAAAGGGTTTTTCCAGGATTGCTTCTTCGAAAGGGGTACCGTATCTCCAGGTTGCACAGATCAGGACAGAATAAACAACAAAAGGTGTATTCAAGTCACAGTCTGTAGGGACAGGAGACCACGTTTTTATCTCAGCGGTGATTCAACCTATCTGTTGGATCTTCGGATACATTAGGTAAGATTGCAGGGCCCCACGATCAAGAATTTGTCGCGATTAGGACCTAAATCATTAAGTTAAATTACTCGATTGACAGTAAGGTTAGATACCGGTTGGTACTATCAAGGTGCCTGTCAGTTTGAATAGTAATAATAATAATACAACGAAGAATGTCTGCCTTGGTGGTTAGGCCATGTGTTGCACATCCCGAATCACCGTCTGTCGAAAACAGTTCCCAATACAGAGTGGCGAAAGCGGAGAGAGTATGAAAAAAATTAATAAAGGTCTAGGTATTGTTAGAGACTCACCTTCCAAAATGGTGTCCGCGTGATCCCTTCTGTGCATTGTTGGACAGTTGGAGCAAGATATGGCTGCTAATTCATGTCAGTGGTGTTTTCGTTGTCAGTTTCTATCCAGATTACCTTAATGAGTGCTTGGAGGTGTAGGAGCCTAGAAATGATTGCGGTAGACTGGTCCTATGTCCCTTCCCCACCCACTTTTCCTCATAATAAAGCCCTCAAATAAGTTACGGTTACAGGGCGGCGAAGCATCGGTGCTGAACGTTGATGCTGTGCTATCGATTATACATATGTTTGCGAAGCGTTACGAAACAACTCACCTAATCCATGGGCATATGCTGTAGCGGCTGCCTCCGATAATAACTGACGAGTGGTCAAATTGTTTACCGGTGACTTCACGCTACGTTGTTGTTGTTGCTGTTGTTGATGATGGTGTTGGTAGTGCTGTTCTCTCTGTAGCTGCTGCTGTTGTTGCTGTTGATATAATTCCTGAAGATAGGAACGGGCGGATGAAGATGAGGAAGAGGAGGTGGAAGAACATGCGGAAGCGGTGGAGGTTGTTGCCAAAGGATAACTCGCTCCAGTAGCAGGACCAGTACCACCACAAAGCTCGTTTCGCCCTCGGCTTGAGCATCGTGATGATATGCTTGAGGGATGATACGGAGAGTAGGCTCCAGTCATTGTTCCGGCGGATCCGGGGTTCTGAAATTTAGGGAAGCACATGGTTAGACAACGGTTTAGAAAAAGTGCTCCACAAAGCTTCGCCCTCGGCTTGAGCATCGTGATGATATGCTTGAGGGATGATACGGAGAGTAGGCTCCAGTCATTGTTCCGGCGGATCGATCCTTCTGAAATTTAGGGAAGCACATGGTTAGACAACGGTTTAGAAAAAGTGCTGACGAACGGGCTCCCTCTCTAAGCATTATATATATATATATATATATATATACTTTTTCAAAAAAACGGAACCCAGTTTCACCCTG